AGAAGTCCAGACGCTTTTCTTTGCAAGCTCATTTGACTACAATGACCTGGATGACTGAGAACCTTCACAGACATACTTCTTAAACTCTTATTAACTCTTATTAATTAACAATAAACTTAGTGTATATGTACTCCTAAAGTTGATGAAAGTGATAAAAAATAGACAGCGCTCTCTTTTTATTCTGACATTTAACTAATTCAAAAGATGCTTCAATATTTATTTATCTAAAACAAAACAAGTTTACTCTAAATTGATGTTTAACAGTAAAAAAAAAAGTTCTTGTTTTTCCCTAAAGTGTATGTAAATATCTGGTTTCACCTGTGACCATACTGCTGTGTATTGAAATTCCTCTTGTTTTGCATAGAAATATAGCAATATTGAACAACATACAAAGCATAATATATAAAATAACATCTACCTGAGTTTTTTCTTTGAAAGAAGCCCCTTATGTCCATTGTTGTGTTCATCAGTACATAGCTGAAACCGATTTAGAGTGCTTTATTTAGCCATAGAGGGTAACAACTGAAAATATGAAATAAACACACATGTAAGCTAAGACCAGTGTTGGGTGTAATGTGTTACTAAGTAACGCGTTACTGTAATTAAATTACTTTTCCACTGAAAAAGTAGAGTAACTATTTACTGTTCATTTCTTTTACCTAGAAATGAACAGTAAATAGTTACTCTACTTTTTCATTCTGAAGCTGAGTCCAACATCTTGGACTCGGCTTTCATGAAATATGTCCATTTCAATGTAATGAAATGGACATATTCCCGTCTCTTCACTTTTCTGAAACAAGCAGACAAGAACATTACAGTAATATGTAAGCTATGTCCTGGGGAGAAAAAACTATCGGTTGCTGTTAATAGCACGAGTAATCTACTGAAGCACCTGACACGAGAGTATAGACAAACACTTCTGAGTGATCCTTGTTCGTCATCCATGGATAACACCGCGGCAACTCCTGCTAAGCAAGCAAAACTTGATTTTACTTCAGCAGCACAGAAAGTGTCTGAAGGTGAGCTTAAAAAAATGATTGCAGGCTACATTGTGGAAGAGATGAACCGCTGCGTACTGTAGAGTCTCCGTCTTTAAAAAAATATATTTATTATTTAAAGAGTTTAATTTCTATTGTTTGCCCACTCAAGGTTTATAGCGATTTTAAGAAGTATTTAGTTAAATTACTTATTTAGTTATTAAGTTACTTTTCTGACATAGTAATTAGATAAGTATTTTAAATACAATATTGACTAAGTAATTAGTAATTAATTACTTTTTTAAAGTAACTTACCCAACACTGGCTAAGACTCTCTAAAAAACAGCATTGTTGTTGTTTGGCTTTTCATTTCGCCATTTGTTGATTCACTCGAAGAGCAAGTAGCTTAATATGGGTCAAGTAACCAGTTTGATATCAATCTTTTGTGATACACCATCATATTTACATTGTAAAAATACGAATGATTTGCTTTGGTACTTGGTCAAACTTAAGCTCTCCTCTGACTTCCTGGCTGCGCTTCTCCTACAGCAAACTCGCAGGCAGCAGCTTCTCCCCCCTCCCTCACATGCGTAAGTGCTGTGCTCAGTCACCTATAGTGCCTGAGCTCGGATCATACCAAAATTAGGGGGAATTTCCGACTGTGCGCTATGTGCTTCGAATATTTTGTGTAGGTTTTGTTTTATACAGTTGTCAGTCAGGCATCTAACTATGAAACAAATTACACTCCAAAAGACCCCGGGCTTCTGAAAAAATGACCTGAGCTTAAGCCCAGCAAGCCACCCTCCCGCTCCGCTGATGGCTTCATTAAATATACTTCTTTATTTGCTGTGATATATAATTGTTTTGATGGGTAATTGTGATGTTAAATATTTAGATACTGTTAACTTTGGAGTTATGTTGGGAAAATATCACACACCTGTAATGAACTCCTTGTGTTTATGTAACATTTGGTCTTTATTTATTTCAAGCCACTGAAAACTGTGGAAACAGTAAATAAAAGTCTGAACAACATTCATGTTTTAAATCTTTGCTTTAAGCTATACTCTTCTGTTCCCATCTCATTTCAAAGCATTACTTGTGTTCATAAGATACACTACATGATGTCAGTGTAGCCAGTTGGGCTACTCTCCATCCCTGGCTCACTCACTCTCTCTCGCTCTCTCACTGCTAGTCAGGTTGTGTTGAGTGGAAACACACCTATAGTTTAATTGCATTCTTGGCGTTCTCGACAAAATATTGATTGATATACCTTTATTAGGCCCACAAGGTGAAATTTCATGAGGCTGCCGACCTATTGCACGCAATGGCGGCGCCATCTTACCCTCCGACCATACATACATTACACAAAACATCACATGGGGAAGACAGGTCAGAGAGGTATAACAATGGAAAATGCACCACTTAAAGTAGAAACACTTAAAGTAGAAATTTTAATTGAAATTAAATGTTAGTAGTACACTTATCATGAACAACCAAAACCAGTGGCAAGTGAACTCAATGGCAGAATCCAAACACGAATCACAGAGAATGGAAATATTTATTTTCACACTTAGAGGATTTATGTTGAAGCAGGGAAACACAGGGGATTTGAGTAATTGCACAGAAAAAGGAGAGGAGCAGTCTAAGGCCTAGGATGTCCTGTTGCAATGTGCACTCATGGACATCCTTAATTTTGAACACAGTGTTCATTATGGACAAATTTTGATTTGCACAAAAGTCCAGTAATAGAATCAAATGTCTCAGTAGTTGCCAGATGGAACCCACCTGAGCACAATGACAATCAGAACTCATTCTACAAGCTGAAGATGCAGGGAAGAAGCACCTGCCTGCTACCTCCTACCAACAAAACTCAAACATTAGAATAAACTAGCTCACTGGCCATTATGGTGTCTTAATTTGATATTTTTGCTCTCTCTTGGCTGACTAAACCATGTAAGTCCTACAATGGCCACGATAGCAAAGATGTACTAGCGATGTAGCAGGGACAGGCACTTGAATTAGGAGGCCTACAAAAAACAGAATTCAGTTGACAGCAATCTGTAATCTATTGACATCTCGTGGTGAGAGTTCACAGACTGTACAATAAAATAATTTCAATTCAATTCAATTCAATTTTATTTATATAGCGCCAAATCACAACAAATGTCGCCTCAAGGCGCTTCATAGATACAGAGAAAAG